ATTGATAGCGCCTCAGTGCCCAGCTTAGAAGAGCTGAACCAGTTCAGGCAACATGTGGCAACTTTGAGGGAAACAAAGGTACACTGCCTACATTCATACTTCCTAAAAGTCACTTTGGTTTTCCTCTAGGTATCTTGTAATTGCTTTGTTTTAAAGGCTTCTAGGCGTGCGGAGTTTGTCAGTATAAAGAGACAGATCATACTGTGTATGGAGGAATTAGACCGCACCCCAGACACAAGCTTTGAAAGAGATGTGGTGTGTGAAGACGAAGATGCCTTTTGCTTGTCTTTGGAGAATATTGCAACACTACAGAAGTTGCTACGGCAGGTACTTCTCAAATTATCCCTGGGATCTCCCTAGTATAGAGCAGTTTGAAAAACTGACAGTTGCTGGGTATGGTGGCTCACGCCTGTAATCCCAGCACTTTGAGAGGACGAGGCGGGCAGATCGCAATGTCAGGAGTTCGAGACCAGCCTGGCCAATATGGTGAAACCCCCATCTCTACTAAAAATACAAAATTAGCTGGGCGTGGTGGCACATGCCTGTAATCCCGGCCACTTGGGAGGCTGAGGCAGGAGAATCGCTTGGACCTGGGAGGCGGAGGTTGCGGTGAGCCAAGATCGTGCCACTGCACTGCAGCCTGCGCGACAGAGCGAGACTGTCTCAGAGAAAACAACAACAACAAAAACTAGTTTTCCTTCAGTCTTAAATAAGGAGCCAACGCAGGTAAGAGAATGAGAGACAGTAATGATAGTAATACAGACAATCTTGATTTCTGTTTTGTAACGGTTAAAAAAACTTTGTATGTAGCTCCAAGAAAATGAAATTGAAATTATAGATGAAATAATATTAGTCATTTGAGTTTGCTTCGTGTTTTAAACGTTCCTTTCAGTTCTAAATTTGAATGCTAATTCTTGGAGTCTGAGATCCTGACAGCCTTACAGCTTGTGTTTAGAAGGCATGAAAACACTGCTTTGAACTCTCATGGAAGGGCCTCCTCTCCCTGTGCATCCAGGCGTTTCTTTGTAGGAAGCCAGAGGGCTAGTCTCTGTGCTTCTGCTTTGCTGTGAATGACATTGGCTTTCTGTGCTGCAGCTAGAAATGCAGAAATTACAAAATGAAGCAGTGTGTGAGGCTCTGCGCACTCAAATCCGAGAGCTCTGGGACAGACTGCAAATACCTGAAGAAGAGAGAGAAACTGTGGCCACCATTATGTCTGGGTCAAAAGCCAAGGCTCGGAAAGCGGTAAGAAACCCAATGGGTGCTGGGTCAGCAGTCTTCTCTCAGCACTTCTGTGTTAGTTATAAAGAGTGTTGCTTTGGTTGGGCGCAGTAGCTCACACCTCTAAGCCCTGCACATTGGGATACTGAGGCGGGTGGATCATTTGGGGTCAGGAGTTCAAGACCAGCCTGGCCAACACAGCAAAACCCCGTCTCTACTAAAAATATAAAAATGAGCTGGGTGGTAGTGGTGTGCGCCTGTAACCCCAGTTACTTGGGAGGCTGAGGCAGGAGAATCGTTTGAACCTGGGAGACAGAGGTAACGGTGAGCCAAGATTACGCCTCTGCACTTCAGTCTGGGTGAGAAAAAGAGACCCTGTCTAAAAAAAAAAAGAAAGTGATTTATAATACCTCTATGGCTTTGCATTATAATTTTACTTAAAAGGGGGGAAACTTTTGCAAACCTAAATGCATACAGAAGTATGGCAGCCACCTTTAGTAAGCCTTTTTCTTTCAGCTGCAATTAGAAGTGGATCGGTTGGAAGAACGAAAAATGCAAAACCTGAAGAAACTGATTGAGGCAACTCGAGTGAAGCTGGTTCAGTACTGGGACCAGTGCTTTTACAGCCAGGAGCAGAGACAAGCCTTTGCCCCTTTCCATGCTGGTGAGTACGGGGGTGAGGTCTTTGGTTGGTTTGTTTGGAGACAGGTCTTACTCTGTTGTCTGGTCTCAAATTCCTAGGCTCAAACAATCCCCCCCTTGCCTCCCAAAGTGTTGGGCCACCACACCCAGCCAGAAATGGGGTTTTCATGTGGCCTGCTCACTAGTTTTTAACAAGTCCAGACATTCCCCAGAAGTGTGCCAGCTTTTCAAGACATTGAGTCTAACTGCCATTTCTGTATGGAAGAGCATTTGCAAATATTATTGGGAAATATTGGCCTCTTGCTTTCTGAAGCAGTGTGTCACTTCAGTTTCTGTCAGGTGCTTCCTTCCTGCCAGGTGCAGTATCAAACCCTTCACAATATTATTCCACAGACTCCTTGTGTCAAGAGGTGAGGACACTAAAGCACATACATGCTGAGTAACTTAATCCAGAGACATACAGTAGGAAATGCCAGAGCCTCCGTGGGAGCCAAAAGGAGCTTGCCTCCTGGAGCCCAGTGGAATTCTAGTCTGAGCTGAACTAAGTGTAAAGATGAAGCTACCCCAACTAAATTCAACAGATGTTTTTGCACATTTTCTGTGATTCCCCCATCTACTGGCTGGGCAGGACAGAAAGGAAGAACATGAGCCACTGGCTGCGGTGGTGCATGCCCGTAGACCCAGCTACTCGGGAGGCTGAGGCTGGAGGATCTCTTGAGCCCAGGAGTTCTGGGCTGTAGTGTGCTATGCCGATCGGGTGTCCGCACTAAGTTCGGCATCAATCTGGTGACCTCCCAGGAGCAGGGGACCAGCAGGTTGCCTAAGGAGGGGTGAACCAGCTCAGGTCAGAAACTGAGCAGGTCAAAACTCCCGTGCTGAGCAGTAGTGAGATCGCGCCTGTGAATAGCCACTGCACTCCAGCCTGGG